CCCCCCCCCAAATGTAGTTAGGGGAATGTTGTAGGTTATTGCTTGCCAACGTGGGCGGTGTCGATATGTTAGTTTAAATAGGCGGATAGAGACAGGTTATTTAATTCCCGCCTGGCAATACTTAGATCTTTAATAACATGTAGCCTAGATGTAGTTTTGGCGTTACGAAAATTTTAGCCTCTTAAAGTTGACAAAAGTGGGAACTGGCTATTTAAAAACGAAAACAAACCATGAAACGAAAACCAAACAAAAACGAAAACAAAAAACAAGAAGGTTGACAAGCTATAGTGTAGGTCAGCTCGTGTTTAGAGAAGTGCTTGTGGGGATAAGGATGATGGTGTCATAGGTGAAAGTGACAAACGGTGGTAATATTATGGATAGGCCTATTCTTGGGGTCAGATGTTTATATCGCATGGACTATTTGGTGGTGTTGTAATAATCTTTACACCACTCTGGACTCAATTTTGATTACAAATAGACTGTACACCTGTATTCTTTTGCTTAAAAAAGAAAAAGGTAGAAAAAAATAATTAGCGTTTAAAAGCAATCTTTCAACACGAATCTCTTACTCTTCTTATGAGTTTCTTTCAGACTAGTCAGTTGTCCAATAACTTTAACAAACATAGTGTCACCAGTGTGAGTGTAGTGGTGCGCTGCTTTTCGATTCAAGTCAATCTGAATCTGCCCCCAGGACTACTTTCATGTTGTATACAAAGGAATCACCCAACTCGGCTGTCTTACTGGACGCAAGGCATACTGACACTGTTGGCACAAAATGGCCGCTGTTCAAAAAGAGGCCCACAAAAATCATTATCCATGGTTTCGTCGATGATCCTGCCAAAGAGCTGTGGATGAAGGTGAGTAGTCAGACGGCTTTCAAACAATTATTTTGAGCATTTTAGCATAACAAAGCCGAGGTATTCCACCAAGTGTTGACAGTGAGTGTAAGCCAAGTTAAAAATGGGTGATTTTTTCTTTTTTTCGTTCATAGCCTACACTGGCTCACAACTGTTAACGGTACATGTACTAGGCTACTCCAGGGTATGATTATAGGATCTTTAACAGTCAAGGTAGAGCCAAGTATGATATCATATGTAGCATCTGAAAACGGCGTTTCTCTTTTTTTCTGTTCGAATTATATTAGATCAAATAATATCTTTGCTTCAGTCCGTAGGCAGTATAAATATAAGCTGCAAAAGAATCTCTCATTTTAATTACACTTAGACCTGGGCCCTGTGTTTTCTTGACTAATATCGACTCTTCCTCTGTTTGTCATGTTCGTCATTAGACTATGAAAACCGAGTTCCTCAAACATCACGATTTCAACATCATCATTGTGGACTGGCACCACGGGAATCAGATGCCGTATACGCAGGCCACAGCCAACACGAGACTCGTCGGAGCTCAGGTTGCACTACTCATTAAACAGCTGAAGGTAAGATGAGTAAGAACAAGATTGGGAAGTGAAGCAGGTCATAGGAAAATAATAGAAGTCTGAGTTCGTGTGTGTGTGTGTGTGTGTGTGTGTGTGTGTGTGTGTGTGTGTGTGTGTTTGTGTGTGAGTGAGTGCGTGTGTGCGTTTGTGTGTGTGAGCGAACAAGCGAGAGAGAGAGACAGAGAGAGAGAGAGAGAGAGA